TCCCAGTCAGCGCCGCCGGGATGTTCTGAGGCATAACATCTCTGATCACGCCTTCCTTCGGATGGGAAGTAAAGCCGTTGGTCCCCGGTTCATGAGTTGATGGGTCGATAGGTAGGGTCCAGATGTGGGAGCTGCCTTCCTGGCACGTCGGTAGCATTGGTGCTCAGCACGGAAAACAAGATCGACGGAAAAAACAAACCAAAGAAAAAAAAACTAATTTATTGCCCCTATCAGCTGTTCACTCGTACCTACAATCTACTCGTGGAAAGGAGATTAGCTGATAAGAGAGGATCGTGAGAGCTTTGTGTGAGAGTAGGTGAAGTACGATTTCGTGTGGAACATGTTTGGTGGTAGGGTGCTTCTATTTATGTTCAAACAACATGCAAGGTACTTTTTCAAACTCAGCAAGCAAGCGAATATAAACTTTTAATCAGAACAAATCATTGATTTGTATTTACTGGATTCAAAAGGTTGGATTGAACCTGTAATTTGGTTCTCGCACACAGAGGGAAGAAGGGTGGAAGAAAATCATGTCACCAAAAACCAAGCTCAAGTCGGATCTCATCACCGGTATTGCGAGGAAGCATTTGCCCAGAAACCGTTTGCCGTCGGAATTGGCCGTCATCAGGTACTTTCGATTCAAGCATGAAACCCAACAACTTTCAATCGGAAAAAGCACCGAAGCTGCTTGTATATCAATGGTACACTGCTTGAGAAGCTTTTCGGAAACTCAATCGGAAGTTTGTTTGTCACTTGCTGGCTCCAGAATTCTGCACGGACAGTATCGTTTCGTAACTCTTCATAGATGTGGTTCACGCTTATGTTGAAGAAGTAACTCAACCGCATCCTACACATCTTCAAAGCTGGCAATAGCTCTGATTTTTCTTCTTGAAGGCCTTATTTTGGCGTTGCCATGTCACAACGAACTTGGCAACCCTCCTAACAACGTTCCGCTTGAGCTGGTGGGAAAGTCCGGCTTGATTCCAAATTTCCACAGCTTCGGTAGCCACAACTTGAATGCTTTGTCCGATTGAAAGTTGTTGGGTTTCATGCTTGAATCGAAAGTACCTGATGATGTCCAACTCCGACGACAAACGGTTTCTGGGCAAATGCTTCCTCGCAATACCGGTGATTGAGATCCGACTTGAGCTTGGTTTTTGGTGACATGATTTTCTTTTTTGGTTTCTGCTGCATTTGATTGATAATAACGCTATGTTTGATACCCACTTTTGATAATTGAATGCAGTGATGTAAAACAAAAAACATCATTTTAGAGAATTTGAAAAATTGTAACTAACAAATTGGACACAGAACATGCCGTAGCAATTTTGTATCTTATAGTTTTGACCCTTGAGAATCTGCGAAAAATATAAAAGGGTGAGATTTCACTGAAATTTAAAGAACTAATAATATTTATTGGATAATAGCTATGAAAAATGGACTTTTTCAAAAATCTCGTCGGGGCGACCTCTAAACAACATTTCCCAGAGTTGCCACCATGCAAAAGTTTTTTTGTAACACCCTTAGCTATCATTTGGAGGTTGAGCCCTCAGATTTCCAGACATAGTGCATTTTTGGGACACCCTAATACATATGCTTTTTCATATGGAGTTATAATTCAATGTCTTGTGTTATGCTTAAAACTACAGAACTCTTACCGTTTCTTTCTCGATGGCAACCCGGGTTACTTGCTGCTGATGGTGATGCTTGCTGAACCGGTACGACGTTGATGTTGATGATGACGGATCAAACGCCACTCCAGTACAGCAATCCTCAGGCAAACATTGACCCACGCCCGGGTCCGTACTATATTATCAGACCCTGTCGAGCATTTCGGCAGCGTGTTGTGGCCGTAAGGGCGGCAAATGGAAATTCTATCGATGATTAACATAGGTTTAAGTTCTTACAAACATATCCCTTTTGAATCAATAATTTGTTTCCACTCCGAAAATGTTCAGAATATTGATCTGTTTTCACAGTGCTTAATTGTGCAAACATTATCATGAATACGGTACAAAGTGCCAGGCCGTATGATGGGCCTGTCAGCTGCTGCACCTCTTCAGCACATGAACAAAACAGATTAAATCTTTGATTCATTTGATGGAATCAAAAAAAAAAAATGGCATATGATCTCCAATATTATCGAGAATCGAACCCGCTTCACATCACGCTTCCGACCCTTGGGCCCCTTAATCTTCATTGTATTCCTCGTGATTGAAGACCAGCATCCGTGCGTTTTACAACTTCTTCCGATTGACAGTCGAAAACATATAAAAAAAAACTTTCCACTCACCATGATTGAATAGCTCCACCAACATCGTAGTTAGTTCTGCAGCCGGCAAGAACTTTTAATTGAAAATAACTCCTTTACTTTTCTCCTTCAATCGCCATCCTGTCCTTAGTCACATTCTTCGTCAATAACAGCAGCAATTGGCCAGCAGTAAGTGCTCAATGCCAGACAACCGGCAGATAATAAATTAACTTGTTCTGCTGCAATCAGGACGATAAAGAGAAAATAATGGAACGACGAGGATGTCAACTGTGGGTGATCCTTGCGATCACTTTCAACCGTTGTTGGGGTGAAGGAGTTCTGGAATTAGCCATGCATCTTCATTTAATATCCATTTGCCATGGCAAGTAAGAAGGTTCCAAATGTATGAACCTTACCATGCATCAAAAAATGCTTTAGTTCTATCCACAGCATCAACACAAAAAAGACAGACCATGCGCCATTATTCAAAAGTTGTGCAACAATACACTGAGCTCAGGTCCTTCTGCATGTTGAAGCATATTCCGAGAAACTAGTATTGCAACAAACAAAAGTGCATACATAGTGCCGTGAGTGGACAAAGTGACGTAAATGCCACTCTAATGGTCAAATTTAACTGAAAGATCTACATCCTCAATTACACTTCACACTTGTACAAAATTTGATTTAGATGCATATAGGCAAAGTAAGTGATGCTAGCCATACATTTTCGGACATACTGTTTCTATACAAAATTACGTCCACCATATAAGTGCTACAAAATCAAATGTTGTTTTGAACATCAAGGTTCATATGTTTAGCTTCGTTTAGATCAAATTCATTATTAGATCAAGCATTGCGAGGTTAAACATAAATACCCGTTTTCCAAACAATTCAATAAATGGATGTACGTCACATTGTCATCGCACGGCACCATAGATATTAAATTAGATGTGCTTATGCTCGTAAATAAGTGGTGAGGCATTGGAGAGGCTTCCTTCTCTCGTGCTCTGGGCTGTTCCGAGCTTGTGCACTCACGACAAGTGTTTGAAATTATTGTTTTTATTGAAAGTGTTAGTACAAATGAAAATGAATCTCCTCATGATGCCCTTTGTTGGCTTTGGAGAGTAAATAAACAAGAACTGTATGGTGTATGTGTACGTACGTGTGTTTACCAACTGCAACCTGTTCTTGTCTGTCGGAGACTAGAAGAAATTTACGGCAGTTAGAATAATGGTTCTAGGGCAAGTCATTTGTCAGTAGAGATGTCTAATTCTAGTTTTGCATTATTATCTTTTGGGTAATTCAGGATCAACGAGCCACTTTTGGGAGAGTCGTCATTCGAATTTGTAATCGTATCTTAGAATAGGTCTTCAGATTAATAAATGTTCAAACTGAAGTCTAGAAAACATATTTAGAGGAAACAGAAATAAAAGTTATCTTCCATTTAAATCCCCTTGGATATTTTTTATTATAGTGGAATTATATGGTAAATAACCCTTTTTTTTGCGGTTTCAAAGCATTTCACGACCAATCCAATTTCATTACTTCAATATCTTGAAGACTTTACTGATACTTTCGATTAGCTGGAGGTGATTTGAATAATTCCTGATCAAACTCCAGCTCCTACACCAGGACCCTACCTATTGACAAATCTTACGGCTTTACTTGCTATCAAAAATACAGGCTACTGTATTAAAAACTCGCAGAAGGCTATGAATTCCACAGTTTGCACTATAATAGTTGGTACGACGAACAGGCAATCTTATTAATGAGTTATTTCTCAAACTACGCGCTCTTGTCTGAAGAGTTAAATGTGCTAGTAGAGTTGGACCTCCCTTAGCTCAGTCGGTAAAGGCGCAGTGTGGCCTCCCTTAGCTCAGTCGGTAAAGGCGCAGCTACAAAGCAAGACCATGCTGGAGGTGGCTGGGTTCGATTCCCGGTCCGGTCTAGGAATTTTTCGGGTTGGAAAATTTCTCGACTTCCCTGGGCATAGAAGTATGATTGGACTTGCTTGCCACACAATTATACTAATGCAAAAATGGTACAGGCATCGAAAGCTCTCAATTAATAACTGTGGAAGTGCATCTAGAACACTAAGTTGAGAGCACGCAATAAGCTAATATGCAATATGCAATAAGCTTTAAATGCGAAGAAGAAGAAGAAGAAGAAGAGTTCGACAGTCACAGAGCACACCAGAAATACAGAGAGCGCTGGATGTTTTCCTTCTGAGAGTGTCCAAACCTATCAGCTACCACCGGTTTTCATAAGTTGGCAGCTCAAAGCGATTGCGCCATGGAACGTGACGCAGGGCCTAGCGAAGAAACCTGTATTGAACGCTTTCTATCCGGTTGGATCCATTTTGGTAGAAAGGATACCAAACCACTGATTTCAGTACCAATCGAACGAGAGCACAGTATAGTGATTTCAAACAGTACACGCCTTTGAAATCTTTGGCTACGTGGAAGATCAGTCCTAGGTTTCTCGAGGCCTTTTCCGTTATATAAGAAACGTATCTACTGAATGTCATTTTGGAATCCAAGATAACCCCAAGATCTTTCACCAGGCTCTCTCTACTAATACGAACACCCGACAAAGAATAGTCGACAAGATATGCGGACTCGGCTTCTTTTGAATGAAATTACAGCGCACTTATTCGGGTTTAGCACCATACTATTCAAGTCGCACTGGTCGGCGAATAAATGTATGTAGCTGCCATTGGCGTAACTAATGGGGGTGCCAGGGGGGCCAGGCCCCCTCCAGAATTTTTGGTGTTTGTTTTTGACTCACCGGTATTTTGTCAAGCTTGTTAAGTTCAATGCTACTATTTAACAGTGATTACTAAAATTGGACCATCAACAAAGATTTTTTAAAGCCCTTTATGTTGATTACTTTTGTTATGTTCTGGACTAGAAGAAACAATTTTGAGAAATTATATTATATCAAATCGATGGCAATAAGACGTCTTCAGGCTCTACAAATTGGCCATGAGTCCAAGATTTTTTCTTAATCTTGTGGAAACTTCGTAAAACTTCAAATAAAAGTTCAGGGAAGATCGTAGAAATTAAGTAAACTTGGTAGAAATCTTGGGAAATTCATAGATTTTCAGAAAAATTCGTAGAAAAAAGGAACTTGGAAAAGTTCTGAAAACTTCGTTGAAGTAGATAATTCATTTAAATTTGAGGAGCTTCGTAGAAAATAAAGGAACATTATTTTATTTTAGGGAAGCTCATTACTGATCGGGAATCTCTACATAATTTCAGTGTTTTTAGCCTCATGGACTTGGAATAGTTGTTGAAATTCAACAGCAAACTTTGTAGAAGATTTTCGAATTTCGTAGCATTTTGAGGAGCTGAAATAGTTCAATAAACTTCTAAGAACTTCAGGGATCTTCGCTTCAGTTTAGGGAACTTCGTTGCAGTTTTTCAGAGATCTTACTCCAAAAAAGCTCCATGAACAACGCTAAATTTAATGTCTTTCCAGAAGCACAAAGATGTCAAGAAATCTTTGTTGAATTTAAAGAAATGGAAAAAAATATAAAATTTGGAATAAATTCAGGGAATTTCGTAGCAGTTGAGGAAATTTTGTAAAACCTAAGTTTTGTAGATGTTCAGGAAACGTTGCATAAGTTACAGGATAGTCTTTCAAACATTCATTCAAACATTCATCAGGAAATATTCGAAAGATATCCATATAGTCTAAGACATTAGTAAAGTTCACTGGATATTTGGTAGGTTGTAGGTTGATCAGGAAGTATTCAAAAGTTTTCCAGCTGATGGAATCAGATGGAATCGTGAATGATGAATCTTGATTTTATGGCCATATTTGTACATTCTCTATAGGGAAAACCCGTGCCTTGGTGTTTTAGCTATATTATAACAAATTTTCACTCCAGCAGCTTAGAGATGAACTAGCCTAAGGCTAAAAATCTCTTAAATAAAGAATTAAAAAAAAAAAAAAAAACTCCAGCAGCTAAATTCCGGGCAGAAATTTCAATTTCTGCATATACCTAATATGTATAAATTTCTTTCTTTTCGATGAATTGTATGCCCAGAATTTAGCTGCAGGATAGTTTGCATGGATCAGCACTTAAAAAATTCCGTAAATAATAAATTGATACCAAATGGGTTTAACCCAAGGGGTAAGTCACTCAGAACATTGTGCCGAAATTAGATTCGGCATAGCTTGGGCACATCCATCGGCACACCTTCAATATACCTTCGGCACAATCTTGTAGGCATTGGAATATTGTAAATAAAATGGGAGCACTGCTGGACAACTGTCGTTGAAGTTGTTCACAACATTACGTGCTGTTTGACTGTATTTTCAGGAATATCCTCTAATTGAGTATACCAGAGGAACTCAGACCAGCAGTTCACTTATAGATCTAAATACGAAATGTAGGATCTAGAGTTGGCTCAAGAGAAAGAGGCAGTATTAGTACCCTTAATTCAAATAATGCTGCAACTCACTCAAAATAAGCTAAAGAAGTCTATTCATCATCCTGTATAGCCGGTCTCCAACAACGCTCCTCACCGGTTCCAACTCTTTCTGGCCGCTGATGACCGATGCTTTTCACATCACGAAAAGCTAGGTTTCTGGTCTACCTTTGAGGGCATTATCAAGCACCCAAAAACAGGACTTTTATTACCCTATGGAACACAAATCATCGAAATTTCGCACACCCGACACTTCCCGCGTCATCCTCAATCCGATTTATCTTTGCAATTTCAAACCAAAACATTCAAGGTGTCAGACATACCGGGTTGCCGGGATGGGTATTTTACAAACAATCGCAGCTTGCTCTATGACCGGCACAATCGGCACACTTGAGGCACACTGACAAAAAAGATGACCCAAGATTGGTGTGCGGAGTGACCTACCCATTGGTTTAATCACAACTAACTAAATTTAAAATATTAAAAACATCCCATATTTTGCAAAAATAAGTTAAATTACTATCTAGTTATAAACAGGAACACAATCATGCAAGTTTAAAGTTCATTCTTAACGATTAGAAATAAAGTTAAATCTTGATTTTGTTAGTTAGTTCTAAAATTAAAAAAAGTGTTCTGGATAAATGCTTTATAGCTTTTTTTTTTCACTTTAAATTCAGAATCATGACATTCAAAATCCGGTATCTTAAAAACCTGATGAAATTAAATTATAACCTGATTATTCACAATTTTTGCCACATGTCAAGATTTTTTTTCGGAATTTTTGATTCCTGTTTTCTTACTTTCTTATCTCGAACAATTTTTCTCTCGAGAAATGCTGTGAGTCTCAGAATCTAGGTAAGTTTCCTAAGATCTTGAATTACGAATTTTGAAGACCAGGAGATTAAAAACTTGTGTTAGCTTAAGATATCGATTTTTTTTTTTAAATCAATTAAATTTATTTAGAACAACATTTCGTCCACATTTTTTTAGAAGGCACATTTATTTTGCGGAGTTTTTTTTAAACTTTTGATAAGGTCAAACATACTATAAGTATAAAATTTCTTCTTGTTTTTAATATTAATGTGCTAGAATTTTGATGAAATGACTGTCCAGGGAAGATATTGTAATTTTATCCTAGTCTTATAATTGATCTAAATTCGTTGACTTTGGTTAACATTTGTATTTGAAGAATTTATGTTTAAAATCTGTATCAGAGATATCCTTTTGTATAAGCTACAAAATCTTTAAAACATATGGGTTTGGAATCACAAATTTTATTTTATCATTAACAATGTTAAGAATTGTGCATCTGCAGCATATGCATGTACGTAATTAGTGGATTTGTTATTTATTTCGACGCTTTTTAACAAGTTCTTGTTGAAAATCAACAGCATTGCTATCGACGCGTAGAAATATTTCTGATCGATTGGTGATAAAATTATTGAAATTGGTCCAGGAGCAGCTGAGTTGTTAACGTTCAAAATCTGTCATAATTTCGTTACATGTTCAATTTTCAGTTTTCACAAAGTGTACCCCCATATAGAAATCATCCACGTAGTCCTACGTCAAAAAATTGTGCATCTTGAACATTTTCCTACGTCCTTTTTTTTTTTTTTTTATATTAATTTATTTGTACAGGCTCAATCGAATAAACTTTACAGAGCCGAGTTATCATTTTCATTATACATGATTATTGTCTTAAATCTAGAGTTAAAGGAATTGAACCGATTACTCGCGGTCGTCTCGAGGTTAGTGGAGATTTACAATTTTTTGGGTGGGGAAAGGGAGAAGGAGGTTTGAAATATGATTTATTATACAAATATTTAATTAATCCTAAAACATGAACTTATTTCTATTCATCTTGAAAACAAACATTAAAAAAAAACTACACGCACAATACACAAACTAAACACAAGGTTAATCAAACTTACAATCTAAGGTTAGTATTCTTAAAGTAAACATATATGAGTTTCATAAACTCCAGGTCACGTCTAGCCAAAATATCCCGAACTGGAACATTAGGTTGTCTACCTCGAGCCCGAAGGGAATCGCACAGCTCAGATCTGACTCCACGATGCTCAGCACAAGACCAAAGGATGTGATCGGCGTCTTGGTAACCTTGCCCACATTCACAGAGATTGCTGTCTCCCAGCCCAACACGAAACAAGTGAGCGTTTAACGAATAGTGATTGGACATGAGGCGAGACATCAGACGAATGAAGTCTCGACCCACATCCAACCCCTTGAACCAAGGACTCTTCGACACCTTAGGGATGATCGAATATAGCCATCGTCCCAAACTCCCTTCACTCCACTTATTCTGCCAGCTGACGAGTGACTGTTGACGATAAATGAAGAAAAATTCATCGTAGGCGATTTGTCGATCGTAAATATCGCCTTCCATAGCGCCCACCTTAGCAAGTGAGTCAGCCATCTCATTGCCCGGAATCGAGCAATGAGATGGGACCCATGCAAAGGTGATGACAAAAGATCTTAAAGATAAAGCACTTAAAAGCTCTCGTATTTTCATGAGAAAATACGAGGAGTGCTTTACCGGCCTCATAGAGCGAATAGCCTCGACAGAACTGAGACTATCCGTAAAAATAAAATAATGATCTGGTGCAAGTGAGGCGATCGTTTCTAGCGTATAATATATTGCCGCCAGTTCAGCAACATATACGGAACAAGGAGCTTGAAGCATTCGAGAGGCGCTATGAAATTCGTTAAAAATACCAAAACCAGCGGACGACTCTATTAGTGATCCATCTGTGAAGAACGATCTTGCGGAATCAACTTGGCCAAACTTTGCAGCGTAAATTGACGGAACAATCATGGAACGATGATGTTCTGGGATTCCACGAATCTCCCGCGTCATAGATAAATCAAAACTAACTGAATTGCCGAAGTCGGAGAAGCGTACACGATGGGGATTATGCTGTGAAGGGCTGACATCCTGAGTTATGTACACGTAGTACAATGACATAAAACGAGTTTGAGGGTTTAGCTCAAGAAGCTTCTCAAAGTTTTCGATTACCAGTGGGTTCATAACTTCACAACGGGTGAGGAGCCTGAGGGACAATTCCGAAAACCGATCCGATAGTGGCAACATGCCCGCCAACACTTCGAGACTCATCGTATGAGTCGAGTGCATGCATCCTAACGCGATACGAAGACAGCGATACTGGATACGTTCCAGTTTGATGATGTGCGTTTTAGCCGCCGACTGGAAGCAAAAACTACCGTACTCCAAAACCGATAAAATCGTTGTCCGGTACAACGTTAGAAGATCTTGCGGATGAGCTCCCCACCACGTTCCGGTAATTGTTCGGAGAAAATTGATCCTTTGTTGGCATTTTCGTCTCAGATACTCAATGTGGGATCTCCAGGTGCATTTGGAATCGAACCAGACCCCAAGATATTTGAAAGACATGGACTGAGTGATCGGCTTACCCAAAAGTTGAAGCTTCGGTTGTGCTGGGCTATGCTTCCTAGAAA